CGGCCAGGGAGGACGGGCAGATGCTCCCGCCGGGTACCCGGCGCTTGGGGAGAAGAATCTTCCCCTGCGGAGCAGCATCTTCTGCGGGGCCGTGGGGGGCTGCGGTGGGAGATGCAGGCGTGGGGCGGGTGGGCTGCGCGGGGCTGGGCGCAGCCCCGGACCGCACTAGAGGGCGTGCAAGGACCGTCGGTCGGGGGGGGGGATCGCCCGTGCGTCGTGGCGGGGAAGCAGGCAGCTCCTTGGGATGCTGATGGAAGGGAAAACATCTTAGTGCTGTGGCTTAATGATGCAGTGACCTAGAGCGGGCTGAAGTTGCTGGGGTACGCCAGGCGATGCATGAGACAGTACAGGGAACGCCGTGCTCTCGGAGTGAAGTCATTTCCAGGGCCTTCGTGCCAACCGAATGTCAATAAGATACGGCAAGTTTTAATTCACGGCCTCGTTCAGTCAGTTTGGGCGGTTGCATCGTCACTGCCCTGCTTTTTCAGGCCATGTTTGAGATCATCACTTCCGAGTACTCCTACCTGCACAGCCTGAGCGTCCTGGTGTGCCACTTCATGAGGTCGGAGGCGCTGAAGGAGACCATGACGCAGACGGAGCACCACCACCTCTTCTCCAACATCAGCGACATCCTGACGGTCAGCACCAGGCAAGTGGGGGCCGTCAGCGCGGGGCTGGGACCGGGCGGGACTGGAGGAGGGACTGTGCTAAAACCAGCCGTCCCTTGGATTGCTGAAGGCGCTGAGACACCCATTCCCCTTCTCCTTAGTGCCCTGTCTCACGGCACGCTCCCCTGCAGTGGCTTCGTGCTCCTGCATGCTCAGGACCTGCCTGTCTAGTGGAAGATGGTCCTGGCACCCCTCTTTTTTAAATGGGTTATAACAGCGGTGCTCACTCGTTGCTGACCTGGCTGAGCCTCCCTGTTCCTGCACTTGGGACACACTCCTTGGGTGTCCGGCGCTGCCGTGAAGGTGGTGCCTCCCTTTGCCGCTGGGCTGGTGAGAGGGGCAAGTGGAGCCGGTACCGCTTGGGCTCAGCTGCCCGGCTCCAGCACGGCGAAAGCATGCCATGGGGCGGCTGAGCTTGTTCCAAAGCACGGGCGGGGGTTCGCTCGGGTGCCGAAACCGAAACTGCGCCTTCAAAGAGCCAGCGTAAGCATGGCCTTCGCTCCCGGGGAGGTGGGGAGACGAACGCCTCGGGAGCCGGTGCTCG